CGGCGCGAGGTGGGGTGGTAGGGAAGCCATGGAAGACGCAGGGAACAGCACGGAAGGACAGCTTGTCCGCAGACAAGTTGTCAACGTACGCTCGAGATCCCCAGACACGGAACGCAGATGCATCGCCAACCTTCACCGTCCACCGCAGAGTAGGTGTGGTCTCCAGCATGGAGACCCGGGGCTGGAGGTTGAGCTGATACGCCGTGTACTGAACCGCGAACGGCCACAGAAAATGGGGAGCAGCCGCATGGATCATGGACGTACGAGCGACGTCCATGACCATGCCAATGCGGCGCTCAGCAATCCCATTTTGCTGCGGAGAGGCCGGAAGCGTGAACGTCTGGCGGATGCCCTCCGCACGACAGAAGGCTCGCAGAAGGTCGGAGGAGCCTCTGTCGGAGTGTAGACGCAGAACAGGAAGGTCCGAGCCGAAACTCTCACTGAGCTGACGACGGGCAACGCGGATCCAGTCGATCAGCACCTCAGTGACCTCACACTTACGGCGCAAGGGGAAGACTGTGGTGTAACGCGAGTAGTCGTCAACGACCATCAGAAAGTAGCGCTCGTGACCCTGTCCACGGACGCGGGCTGGGCCGCACACGTCCATGTGAAGAGTCTGCAGGGGAGCCTCCATCGGTGGGAACTCGGAGGAGTGAGGAGCGGCGCGCTGCCGTCCCTCGACGCAAGGAACGGAGGTAGGGACCGGGGAAGACCAGTGACAAGGACACGGGAGGCCATGCCTCGGAGACGAGGCAGGGAGGGGTGACCAAGGCGGTGGTGCTAGAGGAGAGTCTGGTGAGACAGGAGGCGACATGAGCAGGGGGCAGACTCAGGACCAGACCGAGATGCAGCAGCAAACACCTGACCCGACGCAGCTACCTGACCAGACTCAGCAACCGGAGGAGACACGGTAGTCAGGGTGTACAGGCTCGACCCAGGCTGACGGGTGAACGTGGCCAGGTGCCGGCCCGTCCGAGTACACGAACAGTGGGTCACTCGCTGACCTCCAGAAGTGAACTGGTCAACCCACACGTCCTGAAGGTCAGCTCCACTCACCAAGTTCGTGGAGAACGAGGGGAGGTGGAGGCCAAACAGAGAGCCAGAAGGGACCGCCGGACACGGCAGAACCGTTGAGGAGTGTGCAAGGACCGGACCCCCAGAGGGGTCAGCCAGAGAGACTGCCACTGGCCGACTGAGCGGCGAGAGTGTGGTGCAGTCGCGAAAGAAGGAGCGGGAAGCACCCGAGTCAAGGGTGAAAGTGTGCAAGGCCGCAGCAGGCGCAGTACCAGAGAGAGCAGACTCACCAGCACCTGGAGCAGTGGACTCACTAGCGCCTAGAGCAGCAGCCTCACCGGCACCTGGAGCAGGAGACGCACCAGCACCTAGAGCAGCAGCCTCACCAGCACCTAGAGTAGCAGACTCTATACCTGGGTCAGGCGGCACACACAGGTAACAGGCACCCTCAGCACTAGTAGGCAATGCATACATGGCAGTGAGGATAGCATCATAGTCAAGAGCAAAGATATCTACGCTCTGCCTAAGCAGCTCGAGCCAAGAGGGGAGCTTAGCGTCGTCGCCAAACTCTGTACGCCAGGCGTCGCTCAGACAGGAGAAGCAGCGGGACTCTATGTGACCAACCGTCCCGCAAGGCTGACCAGCCCGAGCACCTGTGCGAATGACGTAGGGGCAACGAGCAGTACTCCCTGACCCTGTACTCTGAGCGTACCACTCACGAAGCTGCTGGGGCGAAAGGATGTCGCGCGGACGCCGCTGCAGCTGCACCTGGCCACTACAAGAAGCTCCTGAACGACCCGCTCCAAGGCGACTCCCACCACGGCCACCCCTACAACCCCAACTAGCGTACCACTCACGAAGCTGCTGGGGCGTGAGGGACTCACGCGGACGTCGCTGGAGCTGCATCTGGCCACCGCCAGTAGCAGCAGGAGTGGCACTGCAGCAGTAGTAGCAGTGACAGCTGGAACTGCAGTAGCAGCAGGGCAGAGCAGCGCGGCTCAGTAGGGCAGTGCCGCGCGGCGTGGCCGAGCGGCGCGGCTCGGCTGGCAGGCTGGCGCGGCATGCGCGGTAACACGCTGGTGAGGCAGGCGCGCGGGCAGTGCGGGTAGGGCAGGTGCTCACCAGAGGCAGGTAGGGCAGATGCCACCAGCAGCGGTGGGCAGGCGCCAACGGGCACGGGTAGGGCACGTCCGGCGCTCGACGGGTGGCTGCAGGCGCTCGACGGGCGGCTGCAGCGGGGCCGCGACGGCGGCTACGACGGGTTCGCGACGGCGGCTGCAGGCACGACGGCGGCTACGGCTGGGCAGGGCCGTGACTGCGGCAAAGGCGGGGCAGGGCCGCGAGAGCGGCTACGGCGGGGCCGCGACGGCGGCTGCAGACGCGACGGCGGCAAAGCTGGGCAGGGCGACGGGCAGGAGCTCGAGGGCGCGGGTAGAGCAGGCGCTCGAGGGCGCGGGTAGAGCAGGCGCTCGAGGGCGCAGGCAGGGCAAGCGCTCGAGGGCGCGGGTAGAGCAAGCGCTCGAGGGCGCTGGCAGGGCAGGCGCTCGAGGGCGCGGGTAGGCAGGGGCAAGGCGCGTGACGGGAGAGGTAGGCACGGCAGTGCGCTTCGGGCAGGGCAGAAATAAAAGTTCGTGGTGGGCCCTAAAAAAATCGTTCCCACTAGGGAACGTGCTCTGAAACCATGTTAGAAAGTAAGAAACGTGAAGAACTAGAAACATGACAGTACAAGGTTTGTATAGGCAAAACTAACAATACTGTACCCCATAAGGAGTGCCCCACTATAGCCTACAATATAGTTCTGACACGACCCATTTTTCACGACCGGAAAGTTGCAGCAACTGGCAGAAGCAAAGGGCGTCCATTAAGTAAAAACATGCACCAACCGCATTTGGATACCCGCGTATTCACTACTGAGGGAACTGCTACTACAGGAGGCGCACGACGGGGTTACCTTTGGTCACTTCGGGGTAGAAAAAATGCGACAGCAACTGTCGCGGTATTACTACTGGCCGGAGCAGTTGACCGTCGTACAGCACCACGTGAGGTTATGTCCTACGTGCCAGGTGATAAAGAGCTCGCGAAAAAGAAAGGCGGGTCAATTGCAGTCGATTTTACAGCCCGAGCGCGCCTGGCAGCAGGTTACCATGGATTTCGTCACGGGGTACCTTCAAACCCTGGGGGTAACAACGCGGTTATGGTCGTCGTTGAAGGACTTGCGAAAATAGCTCACTTTGCCGCGTGCAGAAAATTGATCTCAGCCAAAGAATCAGCTCGCTTGTTCATCGTAACCATCGTTCGATTGAACGGGATACCATTTGCGATAGCCAGCGACCGCGATACAAAATTTACCAGCAACTTTTGGAAGAATCTTTGGGAGCAGTTCGGTACCAGGCGATACCCTGCTCTCCGCCGCCCCGACGCTGCCCTGGCGCGGCCTTGCCCTGCCACCACTTGTCGCGGCCCTGCTCTTTGCCGCCCCGACGCGGCCCCTACCCTGCAGCCGCCAAGACGCGGCCCTGCCCTACTGCTGCCCAGTCGTGGCCCTGCTCTACCGCCGCCTCGTCGCGGCCCTGCCCTACCGACTCGTCGCGGCCCTGCCCTGCCAGTCGCGGCCCTGCCCTAATCCCGCCCCTGGTAAGCGCCCGCCCCGCCAAGCGCGCCGCTACACACGCATGTCTGCCGAGCCGCGCCGCCCTGCCGAGCCGCGCCGCCCTGCCGAGTTGCGCCGCCCTGCCGAGCCGCGCCGCCCTGCCGAGTCGCGCCGCCCTGCCCTACTGCTGCTGCTACTGCTACTGCCACTGCTGCCATGGCTAGCCCTAGTGTTCTTACCTTCGATGCTGAGGGTCGAGCGGTCGATTTCGAGGTCTGGGTCGATGACCTGCAGCTCTTTCTGTAGTGCCACTCTAGGGACGGAGTTTCACTGATCGATCACACGTCCGGCGCCTCTGTTGCACCTGCTGCCGATACTGACAGTGCAGTTCGCTCGCTGTGGACCACTCGTGACGCTGCTGCTTGTCTAGCTGTTCGTAGCCACCTGCCGTCTGCTGAGCGCGCACACTTTAGCCAATACAAACTGCTAAGACTCTCTATGACGCTGTTGTTGCACGCTACTCCTCCCCTGCCTCTGCTGCCCTCAGCCGCCTCATGCTGCCACACCTGTTCCCTGACCTAGCCCCTTTTGCCACAGTCACTGACCTCATTACCCACCTCCGCACTAGTGACACCCGCTACCGCGCTGCGCTTCCTTCCGAGTTCTGCGCCAAGAACCCCCCCCCTATGTACATCACCCTCTTCTACCTAGTCACCCGGCTCCCTGACTCCCTTCGCTCAGTCAGGGACCACTTCCTCTCCCTTTGCCTCACCGAGCTCACAGTTGACCTCCTCGAGGAGCGCCTCCTTGCAACTGAGAAGAGCATAGTCGCCGTAGGAGCCTCTCGTAGTGACCCTCGTGCCCCTTTCTTCGAGGGGTGCTCCCCTGTCCCCCTTTTGCCCACCGTTGCCTCTGCTGCTGCTGTCGACCTCGTTGGCACCGAGTCGGTTGGGGTTGCGTCTACTCCTAGTGGGAGGCGCCACAACAGCAAGGGCAAGGGGGGCAAGGGTGGTGGAGGGGACAGCGGGGACGGCGGTGGTGGCGGTGGAGGAGGTGGAGGGGGTGGTGGTGGAGGTGGGGGTGGTGTCGGGAGTGGGGGCTTCGGTGGCGGTGGTGGAGGTGGAGGCGGCGGTGGCAGCGGCAGTGGGGGTGGCGGCGGCGGTGGTGCTGGTCGGGGTGGAGCTGTGCAGCGGGGAGGCTTTGGCGGTGGCCAGCGCCAGCAGCAGCAGCGTTCCCGTGAGGCCCAGTCACCCCAGCAGCTTCCCTGCAGACTCTTCACATGGACGTGTGGGGCCCAGCTCGCGTCCGTGGACAGGGTCACGAGCGCTAATTTCTGCTGGTAGTTGACGACTACTCGCGTTACACCCCACCTTGCGTCGTGTTCTGTCCTCTCAGGATGTCACATTTGACGAGTCGGTTCCTTACTACCGTCTCTTCCCCTACTGCACTGCCCCCCTCCCCCCCCCGCCGCTCTTCCTCGCGCCAGGTCCTCCCCCGGTAGACCCCCTCCCCCCTTAGGGTCCTGCCCCCTCGAGTGTGTCCCAGGTAGACGCAGTCGAGCCTGTCGAGGTAGCTGTTGACTCTGGTGCTGCTAGGGGTGCTGAGCCTGTGGGTGCCAGGTCTGGGGGTGCTGAGTCTGGGGGTGCGGAGCCTGGGGGTGCTGAGCCTGAGCGTGCGGAGCCTGGGGGTGCTGAGCCTGGGGGTGCTGAGCCTGGGGTTGCTGAGTCTGAGGGTGCAGAGCCTGAGGGTACTGAGCCTGCGCGTGTGGAGCCTAGGGGTGCTGAGCCTAGAGGTCCTTTGTCCTCTGGAGGTCCTTCAGGTGCCTTGTCCCGGCGGGAGACACTCTCTCCACAGCAGCTCTGCGAGTGGTTTGCTCGCCGTTGGAGCCGTGGTGCTAGAGCTGGTGGTGCTACTGGCGCTGGAGGTCCTGCTGCTGCTGGAGCTGCTGGGGGTTCTGGAGCCAGTGGTTACGAATGTGCTCGTACTGGAGGTACTGGAGCTGCTGGGCCTGGTGGTGCTGCAGGAGCTGGAGCGACTTGAGGTGCTGGAGCTGGCGGAGCTGCTGGAGCTGGAGCTGTTGGAGGTGCTGGAGGTGTTGGAGCTGGCAGTGCTGCTGGTGCTGGTGCTCCTGGGGGTGCTGGAGTTGGCGCTGCTGGAGCTGCTGGCGGTGCTGCTGGAGCTGGTGGTGCTGTAGGAGTTGGAGCTGACGCTAGGGGTGCTGGTGCTGTCTCTGCTGATTCTAAAGGCGTTGCGCGGCCGCGGCCGTACTTCGTTTCGCTCCTTCAGCAGGTTCTTGGTCTCCAGCCTTCTACTGGTCCTGCTCCTTCCTTAGAGTGTCCACTGCCTGTCCAGTCGCAGTCGCTGTTACAGCCCGCCTCCCCACTGCCTGCTCCTTTTCCTTACACTGGTCCGACCGGAGGTCTTAAGGAGCGTCGTGAGCCTGAGTCTCGTCCTGCGTCGCCTGTTCGTGCTGCTCGCACTAGTTGTCGTATTCTGCGTCAACGTCCTCCTCCTGTCCCCGACACGCACCAGATGGCAATGCGTCCTTCCACTGCTCCGCAGCGTGTCCCTCTTCTGTCTCCTCCTGCGTCCTCCCTTGCAATCGGTCCGGACCCAGAGTCTGACTCCCTTCATGCTGCTAGTCCTACTGTCACGCGTCTCCTGGCCACTGTTGTCACTGACCCTTCTTTTGAGTCTACTGCTGCGTCGGCTTTTTATGCTGAGCTTGTCGACTTTGCTGCTCACTGTCGTCTAGACTACGCCGCTAGTCTTGTTGCTGAGTCTGAGTCTGTCTGTCCTCCGTCCGTCGGGGGTGAGTGTGCTCTTAGCACGAACGTCCTTGAGGACAGGCAGGAGGAGTGCCAGTTTTTTGCTGCTGCTTTACCTCATCTCGTGTCCATGCTGCTTGCCCCTGAGGGAGACCCGGATGCACCAGACATCCCGACCCCGCGCTCTTACGCAGAGGAGATAGAGGGTCCCTACTCCTCTCAGTGGCAGACAGCCATGGACGCAGACATGGCTTCCTGGAAGTCCACAGGCACTTACGTTGACGAGGTTCCCCCACTTGGGGCGAACATTGTCGATGGCATGTCAATTTTCAGGGTGAAGCGGCCGCCGGGTTCTCCGCCTGTCTTCAAGGCGCGTTATGTTGCTCGAGGCTTCAGTCAGCGACAGGGAGTTGACTACTTTCAGACCTTCTCCCCCAGCCCGAAGATGACCACTCTTCGGGTTCTGCTGCACGTCGCTGCTCATCGTGACTACGAGCTTCACTCTCTTGACTTCGGCACAGCCTTCCTACAGGGCAGCCTGCACGAGGAGATCTGGCTGCGCCGCCCACCTGGCTTCACTGGTTCATTTCCTCCTGGTACCCAGTGGAGCCTCCGGCGGCCAGTCTACGGTCTCCGCCAGGCGCCCCGTGAGTGGCATGACACACTGAGGACTACGCTTGCGGCTCTTGGGTGTGCTCCTTCCACTGCTGACCCGTCGATGTTTCTACGCACCGACACTACTCTACCGCCGTTCTACATCCTCGTGTACGTCGACGACTTGGTCTTTGCCACTGCTGACACTACTGGACTCGCCCACGTGAAGTCGGAGCTGCAGAAGAGACACACGTGCACAGACTTGGGTGAGCTGCGCAGCTATCTTGGCTTGCAGATCACCCGGGACAGAGCACGGCGCACCATTACCTTGACGCAGTCACACATGGTGCAGCAGGTCCTTCAGCGCTTCAACTTTACGTACTCCTCGCCTCAGGCCACTCCTCTGTCTACTCGCCACTCGCTCTCAGCTCTGCCTTCGGATGAGTCCGTAGAGCCGAGTGGCCCGTATCCAGAGCTTGTGGGCTGCCTCATGTACCTGATGACCTGCACTTGACCTGACCTGGCATACCCTCTTAGCATTCTGGCACGCTATGTTGCTCCTGGGAGACACTGACTAGAGCACATGGATGCAGCTAAGAGGGTGTTGCGCTACCTGTGCAGTACGTCCGGCATGGGGCTCGTGCTTGGAGGACGGGCTCGAGTTGTCCTCACTGGTCACGCAGACGCTTCTTGGGTTGACGACTTGGCTACGCAGCGATCGTCACAGGGTTACACCTTCAGCCTTGGTTCTGGCTGTGTTTCGTGGCGGTCTACCCGCTCATCTTCTGTTCTCAGCTCCAGTTGTGAGGCTGAGATCTACGCTGGGGCCATGGCTGCACAGGAGTTACGCTGGCTCACCTACCTGCTGACCGACTTGGGAGAGCCGCCTCGCTCTCCTCCAGTTCTGTACGTCGACAACAAGGCCATGATTGCCTTGTGTGAGGAGCACAGACAGGAGCACAAAACGAAGCACATCGCTCTACGCTACTTCCTTGCTCGAGAGTTGCAGCAGCGTGGTCAGCTTCATCTTGCTTTCGTGGCCACTCGGGCCAACGCTGCTGATATCTTTACCAAGGCACTTCACCCTTGTGATCATCAGCGTTTTTGTACTCTGTTAGGTCTTGTGCCTACCTGGCCTCACTTGCTCACCTCTTGACTTTGCTTGTACTGTGATCTATATACACCTGCACCTGCATGTTTACACTTGTTAGGTTGAGATCACTGTACTGCTCGTTCACCTTGATATATAACTCTGCATGTGAACTGGCCTTGTAGCCTTTTGCTTGTGCTCAGAATGCGTGGTGACGCCGTGATCCACCCTGAGCTTGACCTTGCCTTGTTTTCTTGCTTGTCCCCCACTTTGCCTATGGGGTTGTGTCAGAACTATACTCTAGGCTGTATTGGGGCACTCCTTATGGAGTACAGCCCTGTTAGGTTTTGCCTATACAAACCTTGTACTGTTCTCATTCTAGTCATTCTCGTTCCTTACTTTGTGACATCTCAGCCAAAGAATCAGCTCGCTTGTTCATCGTAACCATCGTTCGATTGCACGGGATACCATTTGAGATAGTCAGCGACCGCGATACAAAATTTACCAGCATCTTTTGGAAGAATCTTTGGGAGCAGTTCGGTACCAGGCTACAGTTCAGCTCGTCGTACCACCCCGAGACCGATGGTCAGACGGAGCGGACGAACCAGACTATGGAGCAGCTGATCTGTGCCACGTGCGATGACCCGACAACATGGGAGCAACAGCTGCCGCTGATTGAGTTCGCCTACAACAACGCCATGTCAGCGACGACGCAGTAGTCCCCATTCTACCTGAACTACGGGCAAAGTCCAACAGTGCACATGACGTCGAGTCTGGACAACCCCACGCCACATGCTCAACAGTTCGCCGAGATCCTGCAAGTTGCTTGGACGCGAGCAGCAAAAGCTTTAAAACAAACAAACGACATCGCCAAGAGAAATGCTGACCGCCACTGCCGCCTAGTCAACTACCAGTCAGGAGACTACATACTTCTCGACATACAGAATTTAAGACTGCCCGTCGTATCAAAACTTCGACCGCATTAGTGTAGATCATTTCAAACCAGCCACATGATCACCCCAGTTACCGCCCATCTACTGTTGCCGACAGACTGGTACATCAGCCCATCGTTCCACGTCAGCCTGCTTTGCCCGTACATCCCAGCCATAAGCCAACTGCCACAACACCGCCTACCGTCCATGACTCGCCCTGCATCAGAGCCGATAGTCGAGCCCGAGAAGATTTTGAGCCATCAGATTCGCCACCCCACAAGCATAAAGAGGATCGAGTTCCTCGTTCACTGGAAGGACCGCACACCAACTGAAGATGGCTGGGTGCCCCTGGCCAACATCGAAAACCACCCTGCCTTGCAAGTGTTCCTGAGTGGCCAGGGTTTTCGCGATATACATGCATTCGCACAGGGGGCTTCTTGAGGGGGGGAGGGGTGGTGTAAGGATTGTTTTTACGTTCCTTACCGCGTACTTCAACATCGCGTACAGCAGCAGCCATTGTTCGCTCGTTATTGCTAACAGGGCTTCACCAACTTCGCGCACTGTTTTACCAAACCATGCCCTGCTGGCCTGGCCGAGTCGGCCTACGCTTCAGGACCAGCTTGAACCTCGATGCCAGCCTAGCACTAGCTAGCTTGCACGCACCGCGTAACCGTTGCATGTTTTCGCACATAAGTATTCGCTCATGCCTTCGCTCATACTGTGTACTCGTTTGACACCTAGTGCAATCCTTGCTATCTCGTTTCATTGCAACCGTAACAAGTAGTAAGTAATATATGAATTGTGAGTTAGCTATGAATTACGGAAAGCTGCTCTGCTCAAAAGAGTACAAGAAAAGTTTACCCGGCCCAGCAGACGTGCGCTGCTGATTTTACCCGGCCTTGCCTTCAACGCCGAGTGCCACTCGGCCCGAGGCACGTGCCAGTCACTTTGTAGCCTCTTTTCTTGCAATACGACGCATGGCTTCCCCGCATTCGGAGGACCAACCTCTCTCGCCTGTACAGAAAGCACCAATCGCATGCGAGCGGAATGGTGTCCGTCGGTCACAGCGTCGATTTCGTCGGTACAGCGTCGATCTCCTTGCACGATGTGCACACGAGGGTTTATCGTTGACAAGTGCAGAATAGGAATCTGCAACTGGATCAATTGTTGAACCATGTCTGTCAAAAGGTCAACGCTCTGAGGCACAAGCGAAAGCCACCACACCGCGCTCGGTGATTCCTCGGTGGCCCGTGAGTGCCACCCCGTAGCGGCATGGCGTGTTCCCCCAATCACAACCGAAGCGGATAAAAAGGAGGTGACTGCGCGTAGTAGCCGGAGCCATTACAACAGCTATTCCGTTCAAAAGCAACAAGCCCCGTTAGGTTCCTTCTACTGCTACTGTTCCCATCTGTAGGTCGGTCCCTAGCAATGGCGCGGCTTCCGGCTCTCGGCTTGGCGGCTTCCGTGATTCTATTTCTCCTATGCTGTAAGCCCGTCACGATCTCCTCGCTCTCACTCTCCTGCACTATTGACGTTCGTGACAAAATCGACAGACGGTCGCCTGGTTTTATATTCCGAGCTCCCGGGATCGCTCGCCATTCAACTGCGCTGACTTGATTACGTTCCTGTGATAAAATCGACAGACTTAGATGCAATATTGAAGTCCTTACTGTCCAGCAATTTAGATCCAAACTCTCCTACGCTCAGAACGATGACTCGGTTGCCCCTGATTGTGCTTCAGCTTGCTGCTCCTGGCAGTTGAGTCACAGACGTCTTTGCTGAGTCCTTACAAAGGACTATTTGAACAATTAATTTCGGCTTGAGCGTTCTTCTGTTATTGGGCATAGCAAAGTTGTTTTCTGACTCACAACCAGCACATGGGGCGGTTATGACATTGTTGGTGCTAGTACTGTGCGGGGCTGGTGCTGCGTTCGCTGAGACGTTTGTGTTTTGTGTGCTCGTCGAGTTCACAGGCTTCTCACAGGAACTATCGGGCACGACCTGCCCTGCAGTCGCGGTAAGCGCTCCCCGAGCAGTTTGTCCCACATTCCAACGTTCCTCCATTCCTTTAGCACTTGTCCTCCTTCGCTCCTCACTGCATCCTTACAGCTACGTAGAGCCACATGTCGCCCTGCTTATAACATTTTTTTTGCCCCTCATTTCATGCAGCATGCCAAAGCAATCCTGGTTGGCGGCAAGAAGGGTTGGCCTGGAGTCAAGCATTGGACCACACCAAGTATCCATGATACCGAAACACTGGGTACGCGTTAAGACATGTTTTGGTTCCTCTTTAATCTGTGCTGAATAACGTGTAATGCACTTTCACTTTTTGGTTCCTTTGGTGTGCGCTGCAGTCTTCAAGTGGGGAACCCGCAATTTTCCAGGACGTTGTTTTGGCTCCAATCACAACCTAGCTTTGGCCACCTCATACACTGCGATGGATAGGTGCAATACCAACTCTGTTGATCGTGTGCTTGTGAAGGCGAAGAGAAGGGCAAAAAAAACATTCTTACTTGTAAGTAACTTTGAATACTATTTTTTTAGCACCGTTGGGAAGGATTGTGCCAAGAAGGGGATGAAGCTGCAGTGTTTTTACACATTTCAGTATATATCATGTTATTGATACGATACCGAGAGGTACCTTATGTCAGAATGTGATATTTTTCTAGCCTGCAGTGGGGTACTCTATAACGAATATAGCTCAAATTAGGGTTTCCTATATGTACTCAACTGCCTGCTAGTGCAAACCCTCTTTCCTGTTCAACTTTCTAGCTGCTGTTTTGACATGCTATCAGAGCGAGATCGCTCCTGGCCTGTGGGCCCACCTGCTTCCGCTGCTGTCCTACCGTACCTGTCGCGCGCCTCGGGTGTGCGACGTCTTCTGCCTGCCGCGCACCCTGCGCGCGTGGCGTTTTTTCTTCCCGCCGCGCGCCCCAAGCGCGCGGCGGTTTTCTGCCCGCCACGCGCTCGGGGCGCGTGGCGGTTTCGTCCCCCGTCACGGCGCTCCGGGGGCCCGCGCGCTGTCCCCTCCCATCGCCCGTCGTGGTGCCCTGGGGGCCTGCGCGTCGCCCCCCCTCCCGTCGCCCGCCGCGGCGCCCTGGGGGCCCGCGCGTCGCCCCCCTCCCGTCGCCCATCGTGGCGCCCCGGGGGCCCGCGCGTCGCCCCCTCCCGTCGCCCGTCGTGGCGCCCCGGGGGCCCGCGCGTCGCCCCCCTCCCGTCGCCCGTCGAGGCGCCCCGGGGGCCCGCGCGTCGCCCCCTCCCGTCGCCCATCGTGGCGCCCCGGGGGCCCGCGCGTCACCCCCTTCCCGTCGCCCGTCGAGGTGCCCCGGGGGCCCACGCGTCGCCCCCTCCCGTCGCCTGTCGTGGCGCCCCGGGGGCCCGCGCGTCGCCCCCTACCGTCGCCCGTCAAGGCGCCCCAGGGACCAGCACGCCGCCCCACTTCCGCTCGCCCGCTGCCCCAGCTGCTGCCCGCGTATTTGCCCCGCGCCGCGC